TCTTTTAGTTATAATTAAGATTGCTTGTCTAAACTCATTTTGAATTTGGCTAAATGTCTAAACCTTTAGTTTCGCTAAATTTTTACTAAGTATTTGATATAATTTTGCCATTTTTATAAGCTTTGATATAGTTTTACCTTTTTCTGAATTTTGCAGATTTTTTAATAAAGTTTTAATATAATTTAACCAAGTTTTACCTTTACCATTTAGACGTCTGTCTAAACTCTGGATTTTGTCTAGCAACCTTAGTTATAATATTCGATAAATAGAAATTATATTATTCAATAGGTTTATTAATATTCTATATTTTTTATCTTTATCAGCTAAAAATTTACTATTGAAAAGTTTGATTTATAAAGAATTATTAAATGATTTATAAAAGTTACTGGAATTAATTTAATTGATCATAAAATAAAGAATCTGTGATTTTTCTGATTTTTCTGATCAGCCTGATTAACCTAATAAGCTTGATATTTATTATTTTGCTTATATTTATTATTCTTATTATATTTATTATATTTCATATATTTATTTTATTTAATATTTTTATTATTTTTATTTAAAATTAATTAGTTCATATCATTAGAAATAATAGTGCAAATTATTATAAATAAGATAATTCTTTATTAATGTAAAAATTAAGATTATAGTTAGTATTTCAAGACTAGTTTTCAGTTTCTAGTTTCAGATTATTTTAACCAGAGGCCAGTCTGAAATATTTTTTTAAAATAACTAGTTACTAATATAGACCAGTTTATTAGAATTTAACTTAACTTATCACTATATTGATCTTGTATTTATACTGCATTAATATTTTAACTTAATTCTTTCCAAGAAAATGGAGCATACATTTAATAAAAAGCATAAAAAAGAAAGCTCAAACATTATTTGAGACCATTTTTCTAAAGAATATGATGAAGAGAAATAATCATATTATTTGTCAAATATATACTTGACATGGTAATTATTTTAATTAAGTATATACATAATACGTAATTATGATAATTAATTACCATTTTTTTTAAAAAACGTAATTGCGAAATTTATTATGAAAAATTTAATTAATTATGGGTGGTAATTGATACTTGTAAACGTAATTGATTACAGGATGTAATTAATACTTGGGAATATAATTACAGTATATTATTTAAGTTTTACTTAAATAGTAGAAAAAATTAATTGTATTAGATAATTAAATTGAATTATTATAAAAAAATATTATTTTGAAATCAATTTTGAAGGAAAAATAGAAAATATTTTTTGATTATTTTAAAAAAATAAATTAAAAAGATTCTTTAAAGTGATGCTTATATATCTAAAATTTTATTATCCAATATTTTAAAATTAAGTAATTTTTAATTGTTTTATTTAATATATTATAATTAATATATAGTATATTCAAATTCTAATTAATAAAATTTTTTTTAGCAAAGTTTAGAAAATAAAATTTAGAATCATTTCATGACTTTGATCTTTTTAGAATTTGAAGTGGGTGCTTTTTTATATAAAATTCTTGGGATATAATAATATAGATATCATAAATTCCAGTAAATATATACATAATCCAAAGCAACCCTTTTATCCCCGTTGTTTCAGTTGTCTAAATTTTTCCTATTTGTTGAAACCAATTAATTAAAGCTTCATACATCGTCCAACTAATAGCGGCTTGTACAGATTTTCTACCTAATCTAAGCGTTAATCCATCAAAAAACCCGATAAATCCTTCCTCCTAAAAAAATACGCAGACTTGATAAATTAGAAGAGAATATAGATAAGATAATATTAAAAATACAAAATTAATTACTTTTAATATCTTTAATGCTCCAAACCAAGTATTCGGATAAATTTGAGGTTTTAACTGAATTCTTGTTTTAAGCATATCAAAAGGATGTGTAATAGAAGTTGATAAGAATCCTGCTATTATAGCTATTCAATATAAGAAGTAATTTAGAATAAATTTATTAACAGAGAAAGAAGAAGATAATAAAGTTTACCAGAAGTCATGTATATCACGGGAGAAGCGATTGAAGAGGTATTAGCTAAGCAAAAAGAAAATAAATGAATTGATATTGAGATGAAAAACAAATCAGTTAAAATATCTGAGATTATCAGCAACATACTGCTTATAAATAACTTCCATCGTTCATAAAACAATAAATATAATCCTGCATAAGGTGCGTCTCTAATAATAGTAGCACTAGAACCGTAATATAATCCTGAATAAAAAGTTATAAAATATATTAATAAAAAAACCCCCCTAGTTCAAACGGAGGTTACTCATAAAATACCAAATGGTAAGGGTCTAACCTTTCACTCCCTCATGTCTTACAATAGACGTTAAAGCACTCCATATACTTTTATAATTATAAAGGTTACTCTATAAAACAAATCAAAATCAAAATAGGAAAAGTGAAGTGGAATAAATGCTACACAAGTTTATTTGGGCTATGCATACCTCGTACCTAACTTTAACAACAGTAAGAGGCATTATCATAAGTCCAACAGAACCTCTGGCCACCATACCAGCAATCAAGTTATCTCTACTTGATAAAACTGGTAACGAAGACTTCGAAGAAGTCTGTAATGAGGTTTTTTGTCTTAAAAAGAAGAGATTCCGGATTTCGGATAATGTGAAAAAATATAATGCTGATCCGGGAACATTTCTTATAAGAACATTGGTTATAATAAATATTAGTTTCAATGTATTAAAGACTCAAGTTTCAAAAGGCAAACATACCTAAATATTGTTGGAACAGTTCCTCTCCATAATCCACTTATACTTTCATTATTAACGATATTTTTAACTGTTTGCATAATAGTACTGTAAATCAACAAATATATTGTTTAATCCGAAAAACTTGCAACTATATTTGCTTCATTATTCTCACCTGTTTAATGGAGTTAACGATTTTCCGCGTTGTTGTCTTTGTTGTTGTATGCGAGTTTTCACTAGGTCGAATGGTTGCAATATTACACATGACGCTAAGCCCGATACCGCACCGGATGTTAAGTGAGCTATATGATCTTTTTTCTTCATAATTATTTATAGAATGGATCTTTCTTTTTTCTTTTTTCTTTTTTTACATTTCTAAACAGTGAAGAAAGCGATAAGATGTTAATAGATCGACAATCCGATCATATGACCGATCTTGTTCCGATCCATTGAGGAAGAAAAAGTAACAATACGTCTCGTGTAACAAAGCGCAAAAGTATAGTACTTCGCTATGCTCCGAACTAATAATTTCATTTATTATTTTTTTTTTAATCGAGAAACAAAAGGTGGTTTAATTGTTTGCTTCTTTCATTATGATGATGATGAAAATAATTCAAAAAATGGTTGATTATTGTTTATTTATCAAAGATTTATAATAACAATTGTGAATTATTCAAGAAATATAATGAAACGAATGTCTAGAAATTTTAAGAATAAAATATATAAGGATGATTTTGTTAAATAATATCGCGAAGAATAAAATTATTGAATGAATGAATGAATGGATGAATGGAAAGTTGCTTGATGTTTGTTCGCATTATATGAAAAGATATTTTTTTTTTGCCACATGATTTTACATAGATGAAAATTTTGTGTAACCATTAAATTTTGATAGTAAATTGCGTTTCAAGTAATAAACTTTGATATATAGAATCCAAAGAATGTAAATGTAAATTATTTAGAGTTAAACTACATCAAAAGTTGAATAATATATTATTTTAAATTTGATCTATTTCACGTTATGTATTAAACTTTTTTTCCCAAATAATATGATTCTAACTATAAAAATACCGATCAGTGTTTATGTATAATGAGCACGATTGTAACAAAAGGGACCAATCAATTTTTGAGCGGGCGGACATCCGAACGTCTCGTGTAACAAAGCGATGCTCCGGATTAATAACCTAAACGTTAATAATAAAAAGTATGATTTCATCCAGAATAAATGTGATGATGGTGGGTCAAATACAAATAATGCAATAGTATGCATGACCATTGTTGCAACTAATTCTATCGATACACCTAAGTTATTTACTTAAACAAGAAAGTCTTCTATGATTATTTACAGTATAATAACGAAAAATAATATCAAAGTTCTTCATAACGCATGTTTAAGTAAATCTACAAATCTATTAGATTTATGTTTGACACTTCTTTAATCTTAAAGATATTTAAATAATTTGTTTTGTAATGCTACAACTAAAGTTATTAAATATCGAGTTCCTAAGATCGGGCTAAAAATCGGTCTAAAAATCGAACTTAAAGATCGCCTTCGGTCCTCACAGATCGCTAAAGAATCGGATGATTAATATTCAAAGGCGATAGAAGAAAAAAAAAAAAAGAGAGATATTATCGTAAAAAAATGAGTGTGTAAGCTAACTTTCAAGTACACTTTCACATGCCCTTAAATGGAAGAATTGCACAAAAAAAAAACGGTTGAACTGCATGATATCGTAATTTTCACATGATAAGGTTTACGTCATTTAGAATTCATTGTTTTCACGAACGAGGAGGTTTCTGATAATTTTTTTACACAAAAAAAAAACAAAAGATTCTACCATCAAAAAAGCCACAATTAATTAAATAATGTACAAGATATCTTTATTATTAAAGAAATCATCAAATTTAAGTTTTTCACACAAATCATCTCGCATAAATAATAAAAAAAATCAAAATCAATATAAATTATCTTGCATATAAAAAAATTCATCAAAAATCTTTTTTGGTGGTATAATACAAAAATGATTAAAAATCAATTTATAAAAAAAAAAACATATTTTTAATTTTGTTTTCAGGAATTCTATTCGATATAAGTCATAAAAAAATTCTACAAATGAAGTTATTTTATTTATTTTGATTTTGATTTTTTTCTTTTTTAATGTGTTATTTGCAAAATGCATTAAATCACCAGTATAGGAGAAATAAAGAGGGGTAATTGAAATGAAGTAATTGTCACCACCATTCATATTTAATTATCCAAGATTACGCAATGTCAATTTTTATATAATCACATTCCCACGACCTTTCTATCCCAACGCTTTCTCTCTAAAACTTCAACGGGTAAATTAGCAAAACCTCTTTGACAAAACCTTTGATGTTGCTCCAAATGACGTTTCCACATGACATTCTTTGGTTGTTCTTCGCTACGAATCGCCGAACCAATTCCCATGAATAATGCAAAACTACCAGCTGACGATACCATATATTGACCAAGCGTAGAAACATATCCTCTTGGGCCTGCTCCATATCTACAAAAAAAAAATTGGAAAATATTGGTTATAATTAATCTTTAAACTTTAAAAAGATAATAATTAAAAATTTTAGTTGTTATTTCTTACCTGAAAATATGATATGTTCCCAATGCCAACCCTAAACAAACACCTACAGCACTACCCATTATGACACCACGTTTCAAATGATCAATACGAGACGGTTCCATTTTTATAATTTATTATTTTTTTTTTAAAAAAAAAAATATAAATTTATATATTTTTATTTGATTATATCTAAAATAAAATAAAAAATTAAATAAGCAAAATTAATTAAAGTAATCGTATCCCATTTTAAATAAAATATTTACCGTTAAATAACGTTAAGAAATTCGATTAATTTTCACAAACCAGGACTAACGAAACGAGAGAATATTTTTTTTAAATTGTTTTTTTTTAAAAAAAAAAATAAAATCAAGTCGCGGTGTTTAAAGGATGGTGGGTATGTATATATATATATATATAACGGGATGTTTGGTGGGAATATTTTTTTTGTGATGGCGTTTTGTATCACCACAGGAGATCATTCTGCTATCATACCATACGCCGTAGTAAATTTATTCATTGTCTGTGTTTTTTGTTGGGGTAAAAAGTAAGAAATAATTGAAACTCAGGAATACTGTATTAAAGACATTCACTGAATTCTTGAATTCATTCCTGTTTATTTTAAATAAATGCATTTTCCCCGCATATAACGCATACAATAAATGAATATTTGGGTGTGTAAGAAAAAAACTTTAATAGATTCTCACGCTTTAATCTCATGGAATCGCAGAATTACAAGTTTTATTTATTAGCTAATACATTATTATTAATTACTGCGTCACAAAAATAATTTAAAAAACTAATAAAAGTTCACATTTTTCCATCCTTGAATTATTATTATTATTATAAATCTCTTGATGCAATAGGATTTAAGCTATAAATTTCGGCTCTTGCAATTTCTTCACCATCTCTCTTGATAACTACCACCTTACCTATAACACCTTCGTCACCGCAAATTTGAAGATTAGTAAGTTGCTTTTCGGTTGTAACCAGTTGAATGGCATTATCAAATACAGGTGAAGTCAAATCAAATATCATTTCTTCATTCTCATTATATAATTCGGCTGTATATCGGGATTTTCCATCCGAAGTTTTAATTCCTTCAACTCCAATATCTGTAGCGAATATTCCATCAACAATTACTTTATTTTCATGCTTATGTTGGTAAAATGTAATTAATCCAAATAAAGAATCTTTATTAAAGTCTGGAAAAAATTCCACATGTCCTTCTTCTCGACATCGTTGATATGGAGCCGCCGAAACAATAATTGTAAAGAATATAAGTGTAAATATCCCCGTGAAAAAAAGACTTTGTGTATAACTTTTCATTATTTCAAATTTTTTTTTTTTTTTTTTTTTTTTTTTCCTGAAATTAGTTCAAGTTGAGTGGTTAAATACATTCCATTTGTGAATACAGAATCTATTTATAGTGGACTTTACATCTTTGTTTTACTTAATAAGTTATTATAACATCCTAATTGAGCGAGTCATTTGTCAATGATGTTCAAATTCCATCCAATCGGAATTTATTAAACAATTTTTCTTTCGTAAAAAATGACTTTTGCTAGAAAACGTTTAAATCAACCGCCAATATATCGAGCAATAAAAAGAAATCCTTTTTTACTTTTTGGTTTTCCATTGATTATTTCTGTGGTAGGCGGTTCCTTTGGTTTAAGTCAATTGACACAAATCAGATATGATTTATACGAAAATAAGACTAAAAAGGTTGAGAGAGAAGAGAAATTACAAATGAATAAAGATAAACGACCAGTTAGTATTCAAGAGGAATATTGGGTAAGTCGCAATTAAGGTATAAATCTTTCTTTATAGGAATTTAAAATAAATTATAATATATTCTTTTTGTCCTTGGGTAAATTAAAGAGGTTACAGGCAACTCAAAAAGAACTTGATAATTGGGAAATTAAGCGTGTTGAAAGACCTCCTGGAGCATTTGATGGAATATTAAAGTAAATTTCACGCGTATTAAAGGCAGACTTTATCTTACTTAGATTATGGAATTTTAGTAATTTATTCCATAAATTTTTGAATATTATTACTTTTTATTCTGTTAACATTACAATAAAATTACGATAAATAAAATATTTAAAATTGAATTGTTGGATTATTATGAATTTTAGCATATTTTCCTAATGCCCAAATTGTAAAGACAAATTTATAATTTGGATAACTGATGGCAACATTTTTGTTAAATACTCCTTCAATAGCCTCCTGTTTCCATTCCCCAGTACTCAACTGTCTTGACATTATAAGCTAATGAATTATAAAGGTTTTTTTTTTAAAAAAAAGAAAAGAAAAGAAAGAAAAGGACAATATCTTTTTGAATAATATAATTACCTCAATACCTCGTCGAAGCACTTTTTCATCAGGATATTTGGCCGACATCAAACCTAATAATGCATATGCTGTATTCACAACTTGAGATTGGTCAAGTCCAGAATAAACTCCTGTTTCACATGACTAAATATCATAATATTTTTTATTGAATTATTTAAATTAAAATAGATTATTTTGTCAACCAAAACCAACCTTGTAGCTTTCTCCCCAGCCGCCATCATCATTTTGCTTAGAAATTAAGAATTCACATCCTTTTCTTACACTTTCACTATTTCAAAATTATAAAAAGAGATTATAAACAATTCCCAACATCAAATTGTAAATAAAGATCAAAATACCTGTTTTCGTAAGTTTCACCTAAATATGCCAAACTTTCAAGAGCAAACATTGAAGCATATGTGAAACAAATGGCCCATGATCCATACCAACTTCCATCTTCTTTTTGAGATGTATGTACAAATTTTGCTGCTTTTTGACATACTTTCCTATATACCAATTTTTTAAAAACATTGATTATATTAACGATTGAACCTTTCCAAATAATTGGATTACTTACTCGATTTCATCGACACGATAATCAGGGTAATATTTTTTAAATAAACTTAATCCTGTCAATACAGCAGTTGTACATTCCGGATAACTATATTCTATCATAATTTTACCAAATACTTCTGATGGATTTATCCACTCGAGAAATTCCGATCCACGAATCTTTTCATAACTAGCAAAACCACCATCATCATTTTGCATAGTTAACAAAATATCCACAGCTTGACAAAGCCTTTCTTTTGAAACCAGAGTTGGTTTAAAATTTAATTTATTTTGAAGATATAAAACTGCTTTCAATCCTTCAGCGGTACAATCTGCCACCGTATATCCTTGGTCACGTGTGCTGAATCCCCATGCCCCTTTTGACGGATGTCTATAACAATATTCCATATCAGTTGGATTGCGCTTAATTTGCGCGTCATCCAAAAATTCCAAAGCCTTTAGCATGCTATCATGATTCTCAACGTTATTGCCCAATCCTGCATCAATGATCGCTTGAGCCGCTAACGCGGTATCCCAAAGTTGTGAACCATTTGTACCGTTCATCATCATCCCTTCAGAACTCATCCACATATAATCAATAAGCCTTTCTTTAGCAAGTTTAAATGCTTCAGAATTAGGTCCTTCTTCATAATAAGTGCAAAGAATATGCATGACTTTGTTTACCTATGAAGAAAATAAATTATTAATGTCATAATATTGCAAAAAAATTATATTAATATTGATTATATACCGGAGCAATGTCAAGATAATCTGTATTTTTGTCTTCATATTGCATTAATTTATAACATTCGTCGAGAGAGATTTGACGTAAGCCAAAAAAATTAGGAAGTTTTTCGTATACAGTCATGCCAACTAGAAATAATTAAACCGATTATTAAGATGAAAAGATTTACAAAAAAATGAATTAACTTAAATTCACTCACGATTTAGAAATTTCAAAGCCTTTGTTTGTGGCAAATAAAGATCAGCCTCTGAAACATTATTCCTTGCTCGAGCCCAATCAATTGTATCATATGGTTGGTCATATAACTCTTGCCGTAACGATTCAATAAACGGATTAACGTCAATACTAAGTCTTCTTCCATACATATATCCCATAGGAAGATAAACTGCGCGAGTATGAACCCAAAATCGACCGGGGTGAACCGGTATTGCATAAGGAAGTAACCTTTATAAATGAGTGTTAATTAATGTTATTTTTCGAAAGGAAAAAAAGAGTAATTGGTATAAAATTTTCACCATAATTCAGGTGGAACAGGATTCATTCCTTCCCAGTTATATGCATTTAGACACGACAACCAAAATTTTCCCCATGAGGGTATCGCAATTGCACTTCCTATAAATTATAACCATAAATAATGGTGCATATTTTTTTTTAAAAAAAAAAAAAAGATTTTATAACTAAGCTTACCAAGTTTATGTAAAGTCGCACGAGCTTTGACCATGTATGGATGATCAGCTTCTATTCCAAGGATACGAAGAACAACGTAATTCAAAGCTGTTCCAAATACTGTTGAATGACCTTCAACATGTCTAAAAATTTTCGTTAATTCGTTAGAAATTTCTATTGTTAAGCAAAGAATTGTAATTGAAATAATAAATAACTTACATTCCCCATCCACCATCAACTGGATTAGCTTTATTGAATAGGTATCGGATAATTTCAATTCGCCAACTGTCAGGAATAGTGATATGCGTAATGTACATTGAAATTATAAGTCCGGGTAGTAAGAACATAGGTCCGCCATATTCACCGGCCCAATGACCGTCTTCCGTTTGAAGTAATTTAAAAAATTCAAATCCTTTTCGTGCTGACTCTAATGCAGTTTTTGGTTTGTCGAATTTTTTTGATTCCTAAACAATTTTATTTTTTAAAAAAATATATCATATTTAATGCTTGAGATCGTTAATAATTTATGATAATAGCCTTTGCCTTATAATGTTTCTGGTTTGTAATTTACGCGTTTATCTTGCCAGATCGATCCCTGCAAAGATTCCGATTATTCAGTAGAATTTCGAAATTTCTGCAGGGATGTGCGCCCGAAGATTTGGCCTATTCATGGGCGCTCGATCCGCTTTCTTGACCAGTTGGCCATTAAGCATATATCGCTCCCTTCCTTAAGTTCCTTGAGGGTGTATACTTATGCATGCGAGCCCTGTTTTTTACCCTCCTATAACCTATTAAAATTCCATGTTCTACCATTATCAAAATTTCTATCAGAGTTCTGCCAGACTGTTTTGCCCTTCAATATCACCTAGAACCGGGAGAACTAATCAAATTAACAAACTAAAAGGAATTATTATAAAAAAATGCTTACAAAAGATATGCCTAACCAATATTTTTCAATTATAGATTGAGGCCAATTTTTTGCTTCTTCGATTTCCAGATAATGCCACGTTTGTCTTCCATGGTCAATTTTAAGTCTCCATCGAGATAAATCGGTAGCTTCTATAGAGATATCTTTTTCAGAATATGATAGCATTTCGAATAAATAAAGAGTTGATTACATACATACTATTTCTTATGAATAAATATTTGTGAAATCGGGGATCTCCATATATGGAACTCCCTGTTGTACCCCCAAATGCATTTCGGATATCCCAAATCGGAATGCACATTTGGAATATCCCAAATGCGAAGATCGTTTCGGACACGTGCTTGCCCAAAATGCGCATTTATCCCAAATGACCACTTCGGATAATATCACTTCAGACATTCACGAATTGTAATTTCGGACAAATGACCTCTACGAATGACCACAGACACATCATAGGAAATTAACATTATATGTCTAAAAGTTGATGTACTCATTATAATGCCCTATAATTGTCATTTGGATCATTCGAAATGGGTTTTTTGGAGCATAAAATAGTCATATTGAATTGAGCATCCGAATTGATAATTTGGTCGAAGGATTATTTGGATGAAGTGGTGGTATGATCCGAAGTGGTTCATTTGGGATATTATCATTTGGGGATATCACAAGTGATCATCTGGGATAAACATTTGGGACAAATGCATATCCGAAATGCTCATTTCGAACATTGACGCATTTTGCAAATATTAAATCCGGATCGCTAGATAACGGTAGGGTCAATCTTATTTTGGTGAAGATCAGCAACAAATTTCACCGTTGCAATTCAGTCTTGATATGTTTATAAATAGGTCCATCAAGAAGACTGGTCGTACAATATCAAGAATAATACACTTGCTTCACCGTTGAGCCTGAAAGCGAGAAATTTTTAAATATAAATAAATCAAATAGTATTAATAATTGAACGAACGAAAATCATGCTGCGGGACTATGTAATTCATATGATCAAAACCTGATTTTTGTACGTACTAACCCATATTATAAATCTTTTAATAGCAATTTGTTTAAACCTTTAAACTTTAGCGATTTTTCCTTTTTAATACTAAT